CCATAACTTTCAACCTGATTACTTAGAAAAGAAAGAAAAGAAAGATGTAATAATAGAAATCTTGTCAAAAATGACAATGAGTGAATAATATTTACAGGAATATCATAGAGTTTGTAAAATGGCATATTCAATGAGGTCCATTGAGAATTGCCATCCTATCCATGAAGGGATTTATCCCAAAATTTATTTCATGCAGGGTGCAAACCTAAAAGCAATAAAAGAGTTATTCAATACGATTTTGTAAACTGTATTTATTTCTCAAAGGACAATGAAGAAGTTTCATAACTTCCAGAAGGTATACACGAAGGAGTGAAAGACTTCAAAATCGGCACCAAAGCTCAAGGGGTAGTATTTGTCAAAATCTACTTTGCACCACCAGAATGGGAGAAATCTTAATATTTACCCAGTCATCATATAGTTCAAATTGTAATTTAGTCCAAGAAATCAAGGTAGAAACGAATGAAGATCAAAATTTTCAAGACTTTGAAGAGTCTCTTTGTGGGATCGAGTTCATCCAAGAGAGACGAGCTCTAGGATTCAAGGTTTTACTCCAGACTTTTGACAAAATGATAGAGATGAGGAAGACATGGACATATGGCTTCTCCAAAGAAATTGCAATGGTATCCATTGGTGCAAGATTAATGACAAGCATTAGCCTATTCAAAATAAAGCAGAAAAGAAAGGAAATCTTTGAAAATCTGGTCCCAGTCAGTAAAACAGTCTATAATAGACTATGCAGGCTGTTAAAGCATAACAACTATTGTGGTTTTTGCTACAAAAAAGAATCTGCAAAAGGAAAAACTGAAACCCCATGTGACAAAGGGACCACCCCCTCAGACAGTGAAGAGGATCTCACCATCTTCTGAAGAATCCAATGCAAAAAGATGTAAGCGCTTATGTCACTAAAGAAAAAGAAGAGCGTTTGCAAGATTCCATGTAATCTAGATCACCAAACAATAATGTAAACTTTAATCGTTAGCAATGATGAAAGAAAGGATTTTAAGGAGCGCTATAAAAAGCCTCCTATAAGCTGTAATAGGTATCGGGCATTTGAATATCCAAATACGTTACCTGAAAGCCTTTTACTATGCATCTGTAAACACCCTTCAAGAGGAAAGGCAAGAGGAAAGGGAACTTTCCCTTTCTTTTCTCAGAAATAAAATCATGTTTTAGAATAATCCTTGTGTTTCTATCCTTCTTTATTTCTATCATAAAATAAAATGAGAAGAATCCTAAATAAAAACTAAGGTAGCAGTGAAGTCACTTGTCATGTCCGAATACCCATTATAACTTGAGTTTGGCATTAAGGATTAGATGAAGGAAGCATTTGCTTGACTGAAGGCTAGTCCAAAGGATTTTCAGGTAAAATTCTAACTCATTTATTTTATCATGCAGAAGCAAGGTGGGCATAGAAACAACTTTATTATTCTTTAACATTAGATTATTTTTGAGATGAGAAATTATGGGGAAATAGTACTTGACCTCTTATATTTTGAATAGAAAAAACCATTTTATATTAAACCATTATAATTTAAGATGCTTGATTTTATTCAAGAAATTGTTGTAGATAAGATAGTTTATGAGCAACAATGCGAATATTATAGAAATAAAATAGTAAAAATTTTAGAAAAAATAAGTAATATTGAAGATGATTATCATCTATCTAAGAATCTCAAAAAGTTGAAGTAAACAGTTGCAGATTTAAATGAAGATCTAAAATGATTAAAAAAGGCCAAGCAAAGATTATCTTTGTTAGCAATCTAGTAGATCTAATTTCGTGCTTACTGAGCTTAACATACCAGTTTTTCATTAGTCAGTAGTAGTCTCAGTTAAGTTCTGAAAACTCGTAGAAAAATCTGGTATCAAAGCCAAAAAACAATAATTTTAAATATAAAAGCTATTTTTATAACAAATATAAATTTAAGAACTAAAAGATCAAAACAAATATAGTTAGATGACTAATTATTTTCTAATAAAATATGAAGTTTTTCGTCAAAGATAACAGACTAGACGAAATTAAAAAGCATCTGACAGATATTATACAAAATTAAAAAAATCTAAAGATAATAGATAAATCTGAAAAAAATATAAAAATTAATAAATAATTTATTAAATTAAACCATCCCCCCCGGGGCCTGAAATAATAGGTTCCAATCAATATATTACGCATCATAATTGTTATTGGTTTCGTGCACGTTACCTCAAAATTCTAAGCCAAGCTAAATCAATTTTATGGCACAGTTACCGAGGAAAATAATATTTAGGATATGTGTATGCCAAACACAGATTTACAAACAATGGTACAAAAGGTGATTTGATGACTAGCTAGCAGATTCGATGTCTGCTTTTCCGTAATCAAAGGAACCTTTTCAAGTATCTTTTGCAAAGATCCTTCCACTTAAAAGTGTTAAGTGCAATCTTTACAGGTAATTACCGCGTATTCACAATTAATAAGTTAAGTAATTTATTGATAAATTTTATTTTTATAAAAGTAAAAAACCTTGTATTTAGATTTTGTAGTATGCAAGCAAAGGGTTAAAAAAATGAAAGAATTACCTCCAACCTCCATTATATCATCTAAAATAAAAGAACAAATTAGACTTGTAATTTTTAAATTTGTTTAATTGTGATTTTTTGGGATTTACATTGTTTTGGTGTTTGAGCAATTACGTTGAACTACATGAGAGACATGAATTTGGAGAAGCTAAAGCAAAGAAACAGGTGGAAGTTTTATTCTCAAAATAAGTAATAGGTTCTAATGAATTGGTTCACATAGGCATCAGAGATATAGAAGGGGGCGACAGAATGAGAGCAATTCTCCAAAATTACAGAAGAATCAAGTGTTGTAATTGTACCAAACCAGAGATCCTTCTTCAGTTCATGTTTTCACTTCGGATAAACCTGCAAAGTCTCGATGTGGATCCTTGGGGTAGACACTCCGATACTTAAGTCAGCAACAATCGGATCTATCTCTAGACTAATGAAAAAAGAGTTTTAGGTTAGTTTCAATTACCTTTTTGAGGTAATCCCTTGGGGGTATTTATAGGCCTTCATGAGCTGTCCACGTGGCTTGTTTAACAAGATAATTGGACTGTGACGTGTCCCTTAAGGTGATAAATTCAAGACCAGAAAATTGTGAAGGACAAATCAGGTGTGGGTATGTTCACTGTATTTATCATGTAGCCATTTGATCAAGAAGTGCTGGATTTAACTTCACTTCGACTATTAAAAAATTGTTACAGTACGTCCGGGATTCAGGACCTTCAGACCTATCCTTACAAGTATAAAGTCCCAAACTTAGCAAGTTAATCGAGATATATATTGCATTCTCTAGCAGCATACGAGATTTTAACGAAAGAATATTTTTGGTAGGGTTAATTTAACTTAGCAAAATGCTGACTCAAATCAACGTACCAGAGAGTGCAAGCCTTTAGGATGACTCAAATCACAAATTTTGGAATTCGAAATCTCAAATCATTCTTCCCGTGACCTCATCTATTCGGGCAGGGAACAAAACTGCTAAACACATGGAAGATGAAGGGGCAAGGTTCGATCAGTTTCACCAAGTAAAATTGTTGACACATCTTTTCATTTAACACATACGCAATAAGAAAAAATTCAATCTTTTCATTTAACACATACGCAATAAGAGAAACTTCAATCATGAAAATTTACGATCTTAAATTTTATTTATTTTTAATTTAAATTTAAAAATAATAATTTATTAATAAATATATTATAAGATGTGTTAAACTATAAGATCTCTATACCTTTTGGATATTCTTAAAGATTAAGATAAATATGTTAATAAAAATTCAATAACAAAAGAAAATCAAGTCTATACTTTATAATCAAGAAAAGATTGGAATCTCAACTGTTACAAAATTTTTGTTCTGTTTTTCCTTGGATTATGTTCTATGCGGTTAAATACTTTGATGATAATAAGAATTCATTACTTAATTTTCATATATTTACTTATGAAACTAATTTAGCCAACTAATATCATGATGTAACATAATTAATTTAATATAAATTTTATATTTTTCAGATTGTTATCTTATTATGAATATATGTTATTGTCTTAATATTTTTTTACTAATCGATCTTCATTAAAACTGATTTGAAGCACATAAAAGATGAGATTTTATGCAACAATTTTTAATAATATATATTATAAATTTTATAGATACTAAAGACGGACTAATATGATTTATGTAGTATTAATGAAAAATAAAATCAAAAGATCCAACCTAAATTAGAGGGTTTCAAACATTTAATGTGTCTTTAGTTATTTAAATTCATATAAAAATGTAGTAGGTTTATAGTTAGTATAGATTTGATATAGTTTGAGAAATTATATTAAATAAGAAATCTTGAACTAGAAACATCATCGTTTGAATATTTGTGACTCTATTTAGTGGGTTTTAAATTCCTAAAAGAGGTTCATTGGATATTTATTTGAAATTTTATGAGTATTTTTAAAAGATTTATAGATATTTTAAAAGACTCATTAAGTATTTATTCAAAATTTATTGATAATTTTAACTATTTTTATAATATAATAAGATAGTAAGATTTAGTTACTAGTAATTATATTGAGGCAAACATATCCTTCATACCCAAAACTAATAATTTACAAAGTCCATCTAATATGTTTACGACTTCTAAATTTTGGTTTTAGTTTTCAAAATTTAAATAATCAAAATTAAAAATTGAAAACCCAAATTAAAATTTAAAATTAACAACTCACTAGGTATAAAATTTCAGAATTAATACTCAAAATTTCAAACTTAGTTAATTTGTAAAATTTCTTAATTTTATTTTGAGATTTCTAAAATTTTAAAAACTAAAATGAAAAAAACTTAGAATACAATCAATACTAAACAGTGTAGTTAGTATCTCTAGTCATAATTATTAATTTTACTTGAAATCTTGACGTTGAAAGAGAATTTGCTGACGCCCTATCTCATTATACACGCTTGACAACACATTAAAAGCAGAGAGCCTCCTAACTTGTTCAACCAAAAACCATTTCCCTTAGGCCATATGCCCAGCATGATCACTTCCATTTTCACTCATTTTCTTCTTCTATTTCTCGTTCACTTATTTTCTAATGAATTTATATTCCTCCAAGCAAGTGGATTTGGTTCCTATTCAACCAACTTCACAACTTGTTGGGAGATAGAGAGAAATGCACTTCTCAAGTTCAAAGAAGGTCTCAAAGATCCTTCAGGCCGGCTTTCTTCTTGGGTTGGCAATTATTGTTGTACATGGTCAGGTGTTGGCTGCAACAGGCAAACGGGACATGTCACGAAGCTTGACCTCAGGATGCCCCCCATCAGTTCTAATTTTAATCATCCAACAACTTTTGATTTTGCATCCTTACAAGGTATGATAAGTCCATCATTGCTTGATTTGAAATATTTAAACCACTTGGATCTAAGCCACAATAATTTTGAACAAACTCCAATCCCCAACTTCATTGGTTCATTCACCAAGTTAGAATACCTTGATCTCTCTTATGCATCTTTTAGGGGCTTGGTTCCTCCCCATCTTGGAAATTTGTCAAACTTGCGTTATCTTGATCTCTCCTCAAAATTTTCAGATCGAGACATTTTGGTTTCTGATTTTAGTTGGATCCTTGGACTCTCTTCATTGGAATTTCTCAGCTTAAGTATGGCAAACCTTAGTTTTGCATCAACCAATTGGTTGCAAGTTATAAACATGCTTCCTTCCTTGATGGAGTTACATTTGTCTTTCTGTAGACTCCATGACATCCCTACCTCTCTTCCAGTTGTGAACTTCAGTTCTATTCTGGTCATTGATCTTTCATCAAATGATTTCAATTCACCATTACCCAGCTGGTTGTTCAATATAAGTTCTCTTGTTGAGCTTGAGTTGTCTTCTAATGGCTTTAGTGGAAAATTGCCTTCATATTTAGAAAATCTTAATAACATGAGGGATCTTAATCTTGATTACAATGATCTTTTAGGTCTACTTCCAATTTCTATTGGAAACTTATCATCCTTGGAGATTTTATGTCTTTCTTTGAACCAATTGAATGGAACAATTCCTGAAACCATCGGACAATTGAAAAAGTTGATTAGTTTAGATCTTAGTTCTAATAACTGGGGAGGTGTTGTGTCTAGAATTCATTTTCTCCACCTAAACAATATGAAGGAATTTTTTTTATCCTCCGTCAAAGAAAAGTCACTTGTATTTGATGTGGGATATGATTGGATTCCTCCTTTCAGTCTAAAGATAATCTCCATTAGAAATTGTCAGATGAATCCCAAGTTTCCTATATGGCTCCAAACTCAGAAGGAACTACAGATTGTTGAGCTTACAGAAGTTGGAATTTTAGGTTATGTACCTGATTGGTTTTGGAAACTAAGTCCACAAATTGTCGTTTTATCTCTTCGTGGTAACAAATTGCGTGGAGAGCTTCCAAGATCATTAAAATTTCAATCAAATTCTTCTGTAGACCTCAGTTTCAATTTATTTGAGGGATTGGTTCCACTATTTTCTGGCGTCTGCATGCTCAATTTGAAAAATAACTCACTCTTAGGACCAATTCCAACAAATTTTGGTGATGCCATGCTAGATTTAATGCTTATGGATCTTTCTGAGAACTACTTCAATGGCAGCATTCCTTCTTCAATAAATAAGTTGGAGAACTTGAGACTTCTATTCCTAGCAAATAATGAGCTTTCTGGAAAGATTCCTTCAATGAATAGATTGAACAATTTGAGAATATTAGACCTTTCAAATAACAATTTGCTTGGTAACATTCCAAGCTCCTTATGCTCACAGTCTCCTCTTGTTTATTTGAAATTGAATGGCAACAATCTTTATGGAAAGCTTTCATCCTTGCGAAACTGCACAAACTTGAGGGCACTTGGTCTTGCAAATAATCAATTCCATGGAGGCATTCCAAGATGGACTGGAGAAACTCTATCTCATCTATCAATACTACAGTTACAAGGAAACATGTTTAGGGGAAAGATACCAAAAAGTCTGTGCAGTCTTCCTTTTCTCCATGTTATGGATTTAGGGCGGAATAATTTTGCGGGATCAATTCCACCATGTCTAGGCAATTTAAGTAACCTGTATCACTCAAAAAATGATACTCATGTATCTCCTACCGCTGTTGCTTTTGCTGCTGCTGCTATTTCTACTACTGTTGCTACTTCTATTGGTGGTGATAATGATGCTACTATTGTTGGTGTTCTTATTGCTGAGCTTATGCCTTTCCCTTTTGGAACCCATATGGAATTTAGTGTTAAAGGACAAACACTTGAATTTTTAAACACAATTGATTTCTTGAATTTGATAGATTTATCAAGTAATAATCTTGAAGGAGAAATTCCGAAGGAGATAATGAAGCTTTCTGCCTTGGGTACATTGAACTTATCTCGGAACCAGTTAACAAGAAACATCCCAGAGAAGATTGGAGACTTGCGGCTGTTAGAAACTCTTGACCTCTCAGTCAACCATCTTTCAGGCCCTATTCCAGCAAGCATGTCGTCTATGACTTTTTTGAGCCATCTGAATTTGTCTTATAATGATCTATCTGGACCAATCCCATCAGCAAACCAATTCCAAACCTTCAATGATCCAACCATTTATGAAGGAAACCCAAAACTTTGTGGAGCTCCATTGCCCACCAACTGTTCAACACACAAAAATGATACTCCAGAAGGATATATTGGCAAGGATAGAGATGAAAGTTGGTCAGAGAGGTTGTGGTTCTACATTGGAACAGCATCTGGATTTGTGGTGGGATTCTGGGCTGTTTGTGGAACTTTGGTGATCAAGAAGTCTTGGAGACATGCCTACTTTCGCTTTGTGGAAGAAATGAAGGATAGGATCTACGTCTTCATTGCAGTGAAGACAGCTCGTTTACAAAAGAAGCTAAAGGGTGAAAGAAGCTGAGACCATTGGTAAAGGTACTTATCTTTCACTTTCACATCTATTTATGCATTCATAATACATGTATAACCCAATTTCATTGATAAGCTCTTTGTTTTTTCTTTCAGGTAATAAGTTTATGTCTTGATGGCTTATTAGTTCTACACCAAAAATGCTGTCTGTTTCTGCAATATGGTTCTACTTTAGGGGGTTTGACTTGTGAAGACAAATCATCAATTTGGAGGAAGTTTACTTTGTGTTGCCAATGATAATAGCTTAATATCAATTTATTACTTTTGTTGTCAAGGAATGTCAGTGTTTGCAATCTGGTGTTATGTGCATTGGCAAAGTAATGGTGACTCTTGTTTGTTTATGTTACTTTGAACTATTGAAATTGATGTTCTGTGTGGTTGTGATGCAACCCTTTTGCGTTTTTTTCTTTTTTGGCGAGTAGAAAAGGAATTCATTTAAGGAATCAGAAGTTCATTACTGAGAACATACTAAAATAACTACCAAGAAACAAAAAACCAAAACAAAATGAAAGGTGCACCAGGAAAAATGCAGGAAGTATGCAGAAGCTACTCTGCAACACCACCAATTATAATAGGCCGGTGCAACTTTGTCAAAATGGCCACCAAAGTCAACAAAAATGGCCACTCAAAGTCTACGAAAATGGCTAACTCCCAATTGCATTTTGCTTTTCATTTATTGCCTTAGTTGGGTTTTGCCTATAAATAGCCATGTTCCCTCCGTATGCATAAGTTTTATTAGTTAATCAAGTTTCAATTCTCCTCTATTTTGAGTGAATTTCTTGGGAGTGAATTCTCTTAGTTTATCTCCATATCTTAGGTCTTGTCAACCTAAGTAATATTCTTGGCAATTGAATTCATCGTAGTAGAATTTTAAATCTCTCTCCAAAATTGGTGTTTCGGTATCGGCTCCTACGCCATTTGGTATCGGAGCCAATATATTTGAAGTCTGCATGTAATTGTAAGCGTTTTGGTGAAAACTCGATCACTAGAAAGTGTGTCACATGCGCCTCCACGCTCTACGGCCGTTTTCTCATGCATCGCCCACTCGCACCACTGCAACTCGTGTGAAATTCACACGCCAGTCTTCTTCAACCTCCACACTACCTCTTCATCATGCCACCTCATCACCACGTCATTGCCACATCACTGCCACCTCATCGCAACGTCACTACCACATCATCTATTTGCCACGTCATATGTACCACATCGCTTGGCACATCATTAGACACATCACTTGCCACATAAGTGACACATCATCACCACACCAGCACCCTGTTGCCACGTCATCAAGTTCCTCAACTTGCTTTGACCTTACATATTGACCCCCATATTTTTATAAATTTTAAATCACCCCCACTTCCCAAAACTAACTTTGCAAAAGGCGCCTTGCCAATCTAATCTCAACATGCCTCCTACAAGATCAAACTTCCAGATCATGGGGATTGATCACAAACTCGAGGTGAGTTAAGTAAGGATGGTAGTGAAAAGAAAATCCAGAATAGTAGTTATGAGAGAGAAAGCTAGGGAGAGAGTGAGCTGGGATCACGGCGAACATCGTTCACGGGTACGACAGTCGGCACTGAACTGGGAGCAAGATGGATTTCGCCGCAGCAACTACCAGAGAAACAGGGGTCAGGTGGAAGTGGGAAGAAAACAGTTTAAGCAAAACCTTGATCGGAAAATGCAGAAGGACGGGCCATACAATTGGGGTCTCTATAAGCAATCAACGTCATATTTCTTCACAAATTATCCGGATGATTGGAGCTATGATGAGATGTGGAGAACGTTTATCAAGTATGGTAGGGTCTATGACATCTATGCACCAAATAGAAAAAGCAAGAATGGGAGCAGATTCGGCTTCGTGAGATTTCTGGGTGTATCAGATAAGAAAGAATTAGAAAGTAAGCTGGATCAGATTTGGGTAGGTGGGTGGAAGCTTTGGGTGAATAGACCAAGGTATGATGAGGAGAAGAAGGAAGGAGGAGTGAAAAAAAGCTATACAGGAGCGGCGACGGTAACTCAAAACAGAAGCTTCGCGGAGGTTGTGAAAGGAAGACAAGGAAGCCATGCTGAAGAAGAACAGAAC